TTGTAGTCAAATAATACACAATGGTGTTTCAGAATAATATGTATGATGGAAAATCTTATTAAAACAGAACCCTTGTACAACATCTCGTATGCAAAAGAATCACCAGGAATCTACTTCGACTATATCTCYGACATGCATACAACAGCTGCAAATTGGGAGATAGCAGTATATTTAAATGTCTCCATTTATCAGGCACATTATTTACAAATCAAAAATKTTCAGAAAGAAACTCTAACACTTTGTAATGAAGCGACCGAAAGTTTTTCAAATGAATGCAGTTTCTTATGCTTAAAAAAKAMATTTTATACATCTGAAATTTGTTCGTTGTTTAAGACTACATCAGAAAAAGTTCTGAACGAATTTGAATTTGAGACTAACAAATTAGTCCAAATAGTTGAAGAACAGGATCATTCAAAACATAAACGTGATGTAACCAACATTATAAAAGAAATGATATATACTCTGTTCGGGTATATAAAAATAGACGATRTTTATAAATTATACTCAAATATTAGAACAATGATAAAAAGTGGTCAGAAATCTCAAAATTTAGCAGAAAGTAAATTAATAATTACTCCTGCGAATACTAATGATGCAATAATGATCAATAAACCAACTATAGACGCAACGACGGAAATACAAAATAACATAAGACAAATTCGCCGATTTATTTTATCAGAACGTGAAGAGTTTAGTGATGAAAATATCAAAATTATATTGGAAAATCAAATTTTAAATCTAAAATTAATATWTAACCAATATGCTTTAGAAATAGAAAAAATTATTCAAATCTTACATTCGGCTATGTATGGGAAGTTACACCCTTTAGTACTATCATCAAATCAATTGCTAGATGAAATTAAATTGATAAAATTAAATCTTTCACCTGACTTAAACATTCCTGTAAAATTAGATGTATCTGGTATGTCTGAACTGTATAGAATAATGCAAACTACAATCGTTAGAAGTAATGATTTAAYTATATTCATCAATACGATTCCCTTAGTATTAAGTAACATGTATAAACTATATAATGTTCTACCAAACCCAGTATATTTAGAAAATAATAGATTTATGTTTATACAA